TTTTGTATATGAATGTGCATGTATTTGTTTATGTGAATAATTATTGTCGCAACGCCTTTTACGTATGTTATTTATTACTCCGCTTTAGTCCCATACCTTCATTGTTTTAATACTAGTATACTTCTGCAGGAATACAAGAAGTATCTTGATGAACTACAAAAGGCTGTGGATTTTGTAGATTCTGGCAGTACCAATGCTGGGCAAGGTACAGGTGGTATATAATTGTCGCACATCCGCCACGATTTATAGAAGTAGTGGCCCATTAGGTCCCTATTCATCATAAGTGGAATAGTACACATTCAATTGTATGTATGGCCACACAATGGAATGCTGTCATACAAAGGAGTGTACTGCGTCTGAGAAGGGTTTTTTGCCGCAGTAGACAGCTAAGAGAGGATGAATATACCAAGTGCAAAATGCGCTGATGTACGGAAATGTAGAAATTATGTTAAGCTCAAAGGACATTGTAGAGATATGCTCTTCGCGAATGTCCGACATAAATAATCCATCGAAGAATACCGAGTTCGATTAGTGAATATTTTAACCATGACTATCACTAGTATTATCCATAGTACAAATATACCAAGTGACAGTATAAGAAGAGCGACTTAGAATTACGGAGGTAAATCCCTTGCCTTGTTAGTGTTGCAAGATGCATTTGTGTCTGGGTTAGTATTGCGAACACGGTGACTTTATAACATCGGGAGGTCGCGCGGATTTGTACTGCCAATACAATTGGGGTTAACATCGTATTTTCTTGTGCAATTCTCCATAAGGGTTTTAGGGTTTTAGGGTTTAGTTACAACAAGACTCTTGTAGAGGTACATTATCGCCATGCAATTTTTAACAGTCGTTCTCAAGTGGGATGCCACACATTTTACTTCCTAAACTAAAAAAATGTGTACTAAAGTTTGTTCGTCGTCGTTGTAATATCTTTGAGTCCACCCCCCTTCTGTTTCCAATAACTGCACTGTTTAAAAGAGTACCCTACCACGACAATATTGAATGACCAAACGGAGTGTCACGTCATTCTATTTTGGTTTCTCGTCTGCTGGATGTTCCTATTCGGTACAACCTCCAATTAGATTTGGTGACGTCTATTGAAACCTCATGTCAGCCTTCTACTCGTGCACCCAGCAAACAGACCGGGACTGTAGTAGCCCGATAGATGACTCGCTATTGGTGTACATAGGGCAGCTCACTGGCGCACTGGATAATACAAGTAGCTGAATTAGTGAAGTCCTCTGCTGTGGCTTACTTTGAGACGAACGACATACAAGTCTTTATTTAGCAGAATCACAAGATTAGAACTTGGTATGAGCTCGATAAGAGTCTGCCTCGTCACTGCACTGAGTTGAATGGATTTGGCTGTTTTAAGTGCCCAGAATGTGCATGCATCCTGGCCACCATATATAAAACTCGTATAATCAAGTGATGAAGCTTGAAACCTACAGCGTTACAGTTAGGTACATTCAGCCTACGCCAGGTTTCACTCACCTCAGAAGCAGGATAACTGGAAGTAGATGCGATCCCAACAAAACAACAGCATTCACGGCCATTGGCAGTATGAGCTACTGCAAATGTGGGAAGTATAACCTACTGCCTGTCTTGCGCATGTAACGGCTCAGTTTCTGCCTTTCTACTCCCCAATTACTTCTATGTAAAGTAGGCCCAAAGATGCACTGGTTCCGAGCAGCGTGCATAGCATTTTGGTTTCCGTACGTTCGTATGCGGTTGATTGTTCCGGCGACTTTGGCTCTATTTTTTTTGGACTGCTAAACTGTCGTCGCCATAGTTAGGGCGTTAGGACGTCGTATAGGACCAAATTCGAATCGTCATGTACAGCTACGCAGCTACGGATATATAGCTCTTTCTTTCTTCTGTTCTGCCAACACCTCTTTTTCCAGCGACTGTGGCCCTAAATATCGTCCGTTTATCCAAAGCTACCTTTTTTTGGCTTTTTTCCTGACTGCTGTGGTTGTACTGCCATCATCGGCACTCCTTTTCCCAACGTCTCCCATCTCACCCACGGACAACGCCGTGTCTGGCGATTCGTTTCGTACAGACATAACTATGTGTGTGAGCTCTCGCTCCACCAGCTGTGCTTTGGGACCTGGTGAGGATGATGTGTAAGAGACTTGCGTGCTGAATAGTTTGTTTACTTTAGTTGCCTGGGACGCATGTGCATTTGAACATACTGGAGGTATATTTGTAGGGGAAGAGCTAAAGTGAAGGTGAGTAGGTACAGATCCTAGTACCATGTACTGGTCTACTTCGCCCCAAGAAGAAACACCGCGAAGTTTTGTTTGCGAACTGAAAATTACGGGTAGACCACTTAGAGTCGACGACGTTGTTAATCAACCATACACAGCTACGATGTTGCTATAGAGTGGAAACGGCCTATCACTCAGAAGCTAACACCAACGGATATCGAATTGGGGTCCAGAAAAATGGGAAACAATCATAGTTCAGGATTATCTTGAACATACCGATACGAACAATGCATAACACAAATGCATCGATAAATCACGAGCAGTGGTAGCTCTTCTGCAATATAACAAGAAGATATCTCAGATGTGCTACGCAGAATAAAACTCACCTGTGACCAGATACGAGTTAGTACTGTACGGCGTGTGGGCAAAATCCTCCTTCAGAACACCCTCGAGCAGAAGGTAGGTTAAAACCCTCTCGCAGTATGATTTGGTGTACTCTTTAGGAGCTGTATCTAATTTCACCGAGCCCATCTGAACAAAACAAAACAAAATTTAACCTTTATCAGTGCATATTTTGCCTTCAGTAAATATATGGGCGCCAATCAAAAAGGTCAATACTTATGCTCAAACAAAATATATTCATATTGTTGGCTAGGAGGTGATTCTGTTCAAGATATTCAGACCAACAACCGTACTTTACGTGCACTTCCGAACTAACACTATTGCGAACAATATTACTACAAGTAAGGATGATCCCACAAAAATTCTCAGGAGGATTGAATTTTGATCAGAAATGGATCGAAAACGATATATGCCATACTACACCTAAGTATCGTTTCCATACCAGCTTCTTTCTCCCAAGACCTCTCCACAGATCCACCAGTTTCGCAAAAGTCGTCCGTTCGCCGTGATTGGCTACTGCTTTGAGCAGAACACACACCAACTTGGCATCTGGTGTTACATCCCTCTCCAAAAGCTGCAGTGTCGAATGCAACCAATTGTTATAGAGTTGTCAGATGTCAAAAATTTGTTGTTAGGGTATGAAACGCAAAAGTTCCGTTCCGAATAGCGAAATCCCCTTTTTTTTTTGGAAACGCGATAGCTAGTCTCAATTCTTGTTTTAGGATCTGTTGCAAGAGACTAACACCCCAGAAAAAGGTCAAGTAAAATCTTGGCTATCAAGTATCCATCTACAATCAGGACTATGGGATGTAATAATGGCCTTTTGGGTATCGAATAGCCCTCCATTTTCAAAGGCATACGACGCAGTAAAAGCACACCACTGCTATTGGCTGCAGAACTCATCCCAAGAATTTCAACTGTCGAATAGCGGACTGCACCTCAATTGCATACGACGCGATATAATCACGCCCCGCTATTGACTGCGATAAGCTCCCATCTCAGACATGGGATAAGTAGCCCATCGACTATCGAACGTTCATCCTCCAGAGACGTGCTACGAAACATCACTTCTTTTAAATTGGAATAGATTATAGTATCCACGCCAAGTGGTTTGACTATCAGTGGCCGTCTAGATTCCAATATAATACTACGCAATGTACCCATGCCATTGTTATTGACTGTTCCCCAGAAACCCCCCCCCTACAGAAACCCCTCAGCCAAAATTCCGACCAAAGAGTAACGAAACACGCCAGGGACATACTAAGCAATATATAATATTGCTGCTTAGTTCGCCAGAATCCGCACCATGCGAAATCAGTGCTATCGACCAACATTCTCACCCGAGGGAATTGTCATACAACAGCGTAGGAATCGGGTAACTTTGATAGTAATCCGAATAATTCAACGCCACCAAGCAATTGGCACAAAATTGACTATCATGACTTTAACAAGAGAAAGAATACTAAATACCGGTTGGTCTTTCGATGCGCAAATATCACACACAGCCGTTGTCCTGCAGTGCTGAGTATCAATTCCCGACTCGATTTTGAAATCTTCATCCAGTTCTTGGCCAAAGTATTGCTTAAGCTGTATCTGTCTGCACACCCTTGCCTCTGGAGAAGTAGACGAAAAGACCTAAGAACTTACACACACTTGCGTCCATCTCATATGCTTGTGGCAGGCAGGGCTCCGAGGTAGATGGTATGTGAAAGACGGGAGCAGATAAAGCAGCGTAATCGAATCCAGACGAAAAAAGGCTGAGACTAAGCGAAATTTCGTAGAGCATAGACATAATATTTGCTGACGTGCCGAACCTACATAATTGTCATGTAGATGTTCCAACCATCAGCCACAACGAAGTAAAATCCGTCGCAGCGTGATTGTATGCGCCACACATACGAATTTGGCGTGTTTTTGAAATGTGCCTATTAAGCGTTTTACTTCGTGACATTACTGTACCCTAGTATACGACAGCTGGTTCACACTTACCTATAAGCCTTTGCGATACTTGATACAATTCAAAGAATCCATTCCAGGCAACACAAAGTCATATATGCAAAAGCGCTGTGTTTATACATCTTTTTCGGCTTTGACGACGTACCTGCACAGTATCGCACAAGCGAATATAGCTTTGACAAACCCGTGGCTTCCGCAAAAACCATCGTGGACTGTTTAATGAGATCCGCACCCCTGTACAACAATACACAATCAGCGGTCTCTCCATCTCGCCCCGCTCGGCCCGATTCTTGGTAGTAGTTCTCGACCGACTTGGACAGGCTGTGGTGTATGACATATCTCACATCCTGTAGTGGAAAGTAATTGGGAATGAAATATCCGCGCACGACACCGTGAGAAATCATTAATGATGTTCAATTTCTGGCTATACTTTAGGCAGACTTTGTGTATGGCGTACTTCATATCTTGGGAACTGGGATATCGGAAATTGAATTCTTGAGTACGACTATTGATAATTGGCTACAACCGTCGTCTGAATTCTGGTGGAAGACTTCAACTGACATGAGCTGGCTGTGCTGTTTGACCTTTCACACATCGTGCAGAGTGAGACATTGAAAGCTAAACTTCTATGTGCGGTAATTGGAGTTCCGATACTACGGTTTGATTTTTTTCTCAGAAACTGCATAATTGGTTTGGCTTGGCATTGGTGTGCATTGCACTTTAAAATACGTGTACTCGCGATAGTACCGTGTTTCTCTCAAATACGAATATAGTCCGTTGCCTGATTCCTGGTGAGATTTCTCCACTCAATACCTACGCGCATAACGGATATCACGTACTGTAGCGAATCAGCTCGAATAGGGGGTTCCGTGAGGTTTATGTTCCATTTTTTGGTAACTCCTACATATTGGGCAAACACAGACAACGGTTTGCATCCACTTTACTCCATTCACTGCGATACAGTATATGTCCAGACCTCCATATGCTTCCCGTAATATCAAGTAGTACTCGTTTTCTCATGCTAGATTGTGTTTCCGGCTAACATGAAATAGGCCGCGATGCGTAGCTTATCTCTAGTAAAGAACCGAAGGGTATACAAACTGATAACTGCTGTATAATTTTAATTCATTGCGAGATTCCTGAGAGAAGTTTCAGTTAACGTCAGAAGGCTATGGTGTACATTACATCCGATATCACAAGATAAATTTCAATATACAGAAACAGTTTTATGCGATATAAAATATGGTCACGGATGACCATTCAGTTCAAATGAAACCAAATCACAACAATAGTCCCTTTCTGACTCACTTACACACCTTCTTGTTAATGCCCATGCCGAAAGCAACAGTGCAACACAGCACACTGATGCGATCACGCAACCACTTCTCATGGACGTCCTTGCGATACTCTGGGGGCATGTATGCATGATAATGTGCGGCCTTGATCCCTATCTGTCGGAGGTACAGAGCCATGGCCTCAGTGTCACGCTGCGACAGGCAGTATACTATACCGCAGTGACTCATGTGATCCTGAGGAAAATATAACAGCTACACATGAATACAGAAGTACACTCATTGATATACATTCATACTATATATCAGCTAATATTCATATATAAATATATATATATACAGATATACATACATACATACATACA